ACTGAGAAATAAAAATATGTAAAACGATATTTAGAGAGAGAAAGTTTTGTTTACATGGAGGAAACTACTGTACGTGTATCTTTTTATCAGACTATATTGCAAATAATTACAAAAGAGAATATATATATATATATTTCTTTTTCTTTTTTTTTGTGAAGGTTTGAGCACTTTAAGGAAGTGTTTGTCATTGAGAGGGGCTTCATGTTTAAAGATTGCAGTGATCCACTATGAACTTCCTCCAGCTCTGACTAGCCATTAGCTCATCCTTCCTGTTGGATTGAACCCCCTTTCTTCAAACGGGGGTTGTTCAAAGAGATATCTATAACAGGTAAGATGTTTATTGATCAATACTCACTTAACCAGAGTATTTAGGTGACAAAGCTTAATACTTACCTTTTGATAAATCCTAAAGTTAGGGTTGGCTTGGGTTTCCTGAGCTGTCTCTTAGTTATGCTGCTATAGACTACTGGAGGACAAATTGACCAAGATTCCTCACTCTGCTGCTGTCTTCACTTACTCTATTCTACCTGTTTCTTTTTTTTTCATTCATTCATTCAGCCTTTATTTATACAGGTTAATCACATTGAGCCCCTCAGGCACTCATTTACAAGAGAGACCTGATTTTAACAAAGTGATGACAACAGTGGACAACAACGACAACAATAGACAATCAGAAAATAGGCATACAAATTTAAGTTTCCCTTTTATTTAACAAATCAAAACAAAAATAGCAACTAAAAGGACAGTCAAAAGGAAAAGTAGTGAAAAAAAAAATAAAATAAAAACAGATAGATTATAAGACGGTGTAGAAAACTAAAAACAGGAACATGTCTGCATTGGTCCCTGCCAGGAGTCCAACAGATTCTTAAAGCCACTTAGAAAAGTCAAGGTCAAGAGCTTCAGATCTTTTTGTAAGATATTCCAGGAAACAGAAGCGGAGTAGGAGAAGGCCCTTTTGTCTAGTTCAGTCCTCATTGAGGGAACACTGCAGGTAATAATGTCCTGAGAGCGCACGCTGTAGC